GGGGGGGGTTCTGAACCAAAATTTTATCGTCTTGGCAAAAACGCTGAGAAAGCTTTGTGTTACTTATGAGCCTTCTCGTTCTTGTCCTAACATTATAATCCCCTAGATGAATGAGTAAACTGGGCAATTTTGTCAACTGCAGTAACACCATTATTTGATTAATCCATTTTCATTAATTAAAATATTGTTCAATCATCTTTTTGTCTTGTGACCACATATTGATAATAATATTTCAATCCGCTTCATCTCTACAGGAGTTCAAATACGACCGTTTCATTGGCGCCGAGTTCTTCAAGAACGGCCAGAAGATCAAACACCCCCTGATCGCCTTCGGCTCCCGCTGCCCCGGACAAAAGCTGTCCATGCTCCAGATCAAATGGTTCATCATCAACTTCGTCAACTCCTTCAAGTTCGAGCTAGAGGAGGGCGAGAAGACGGTGCCCAACACCAGCATGTACGGCCACGAGATCCTGCCGCCCACCAACGACGTGAGGTGCCGGTTCAAGGAGAGGGAGGGAGCCTGCGAGCTCAAGTTTGTCAATAACTACGGCCAGAGCGAGGGCCGGGGTCTCCACGGTATATCCTCGGGCAATTTGTTGTGAGTGCCAACATGTTTACGCGGTTTTGTTGTGTTTTAGAACTTTTGTGTATTTAGATTACAGCATTTATTTATTGATTGATTTGTGAAAGGGGTTTCTGTTCTGTTCTTTGAGTTGTTGTACTCGTTATCGTTACTGTTCGTTTGATTGTTTATTCTGTTTATTTGTTTGACAAAGAAGAGATCGCTTTTTCTCTTTGTGAACGAGTACGACAGGCGAGGAAGTCGTATAGACAGAAGTTGGAGAAACGTTTTAGCAAAAAATTTTACAATTGTTTACGACATTATTTTCTGTTTTGTTTGCCACTATTTATTTTTCATATCTGGAGCTGATGAACTGTGATGAATTTAATGTTTCAATTGTTAATTCTTAATCAGATTTAATCAGATTTAGACTCTTTTCACGCAGAAAAAGCTAAGTCTTGATTTGTCTTTTTGCCATGGATGTTGAAAAATTGTGTTGGTGAAGAGGTCCACTACGGTGTGTCTGGGCAACCGTTGAGAAGGGAAAGTCATGGTCAACGTCACCCTGTCTGACCTGCTCTGACGTCACACTTTCTGACCTACTCTGACGTCACACTGTCTGACCTGCTCTGACGTCACACTTTCTGACCTACTCTGACGTCACACTGTCTGACCTGCCCCGAGCAGACCAGAACAGGACGTTGTCTTCACTTGTTGTTACCTTAGTTAGTGAATTCGCTGTACCATTGTCTGATCTTTATGGCTGACATATTATTAACAAAATGTGTATGTGTACAAAGTTCCTTTATTTATTTATTTAATTTGTACAGAACATGATTTCATTCGCCCTGTTTATTATTATTATCATTATTAGATGATTATTATTAGGAATATTTTTATTATAAATAATATTATTTTATCATCATCATCATCATCATCATCATCATCATCATCATCATCATCATCATCATCATCATCATCATCATCATCATCATCATCGATATTTTTATTCTCATTTATATGATCACCTTCAACGCAAAGTCCCATCCTATATTAAGATGTCCAGTTTCATCAAAGCTCTCCCATGTTAGATGCACGCGTGCATGTTGTGTTGTGGGAACAGAGACCGGTAGAAGAAGAATATGTCGAAGATTGTAATTGTGCTCATGAACATTTCCTTTGTCTGTGACACGCCTCACCCTCACACTGCCTGAGACTCTCTGTTCAATATAGGCCGAACATGTGTGGCGACATGGAAACCATTTTAGCATCTTGTCTTGGCATGAAGTCAAAGATTGCCTTGATTGGTGATTATTTATGCGTACGCTTTCTTTACCCTAGAGGAGACATTGGTCTATCGGATAATGATATGCCAAGACTTTACCATAGCACGATTTTTAAAGTTTTTTTTTATTTTTTATTTTTTAAAGCAGAAATAGTAGGCAGATAATATGCCAAGATACCAGTGAGTTCAATTTATATTCTGCTTTGTCTCTGGCGGCTCCGCCTATCTCTTCTCATACCAACTGAGATAACCCAGTTCCATGAATTGGTCTGGTTTTTTAAAAAGCTTAAGGCTGGGAAGAAAAGAAGAGGTGGTGGGGTGGGGTGGGGCGAGCGATTGGTTCGTGTCTCAAAAGTATGCCGGCTAGAAGCTGAAGAGTGTTGCAGATAAATGCTTTGTATGTGCTGTTGTCCAGATGAAAATCTCAGATGTTCGAAACTACGGGTAAACAATACAACACATCACTGGAATGACTGACGCTTTGGAGAGGTTGTGTGGAGTGTGGTTGTCTTTGGTGGGCTCACGAGCTTGTGTGCTTGCTCGTGTGTGTGCGTGTGTGTGAGTGCATGTGTGTGCATGTGTGTGTGTGTGTGTGTGTGTGTGTGTGTGTTGGTTTCTTTGTGTATGCATGTGTGTATGGGTGTGGGTGTCTGCGTGTGTGTGCGTGCGTGTGTGTGTGCATGCGTGTGTATGCCTTTCCGGGTAGAAAGTTCTCATGTCGTGTGTTTATTCAGTTCAAAAAGAATGTTCCTGTTCTGACCTTTGCGTACATTTGTGTAAATGCTTACAAGATTATGACAGGAAGCATAGTAAGAGAGGGAGAGAGAGAGAGAATGTGCTTATAGATGTGATGTGAACATTGTTTATTTTTACCTGATTTCCCTTTTGGTTAGACCTATTTAATAAATTGTTGCATTGTTTATAATTTTCCATTGTGTATGCATGTAAATTGGGACGATGCGCTTTTCTGTTTTGGACATATCATCCATTACTTTTTGCTTGGCTCTTTGGTGGCCCATATGACCGCAGTCTAAAGTAAACGAAAAGCTAAGAAAACAGCTGATTTGTTGAAAGTAACCATAAGAGATTCTCCATTGTTTGTAGTATAGTCGGACAAAGCTCGGGGAGCCGCGACTTGAGTTATGTTGTAATTATCCTATAACACTATATCACTATTACAAGAACTCGGTTGTTCTAAGAATAAAGATGTCTCAGAACAGCTACGATAATGAAACTGTAACCAAAACAACAGGCATTACGATATTACGTCAGTTAATAAATAGAATGCCTTTCTACCAGTATTCTTATAAGTGCAACATTAGCAACATAATTAGTCAGGATGAAGAATCATATTATTGATCACACAGTAAATCAAAACACAACTAAATGTGACTCGCTGATACAGCACGCCAGACCCCTATGTGTCATAAATCAAAGACATACGGAGATGCCCTTAAGTTTTCAAAGTCAAAAACATAAGGACAGTCCCTTAAGTGTCAAATGTCCAAAACGTGCAAGCAGTAAATCTTGTACGCACGGACACATCCATAAGTATAATAAATGATATGTTTACTCCTGTTCTTACCCAAACTGTAAGACAGGGAAATCACAATTCGGCTACCTGAAATTAGAGGGGTTTTTTTAAAAAAATCCCCACACCCCTTCAGAATACAGATAAGAAACTGATTATTATCTGCACAAAGTTTGCAAAGCCAAAGACGTCATCACTTTCCAATCTGGCAAACGCCGAAGAGTTTTGTTATGTTTGTTGAAGGAATTGGCACAATTGAAAACTGTGTGTGACCAAGAATCTCCTTTTATTTTGATCATTATTAATACGTTTATTTCTTGCCCAGCAACCTTCTTATTAATCATGTATTAAGCTGTCGTGAACGGTACGCAGATTGCGGAAACTTGGTTTCAAGCTGATAATATTATAATTATTATTATCATTCATGACGTTTACGGATTTCCATACTTTGCTTTTGCTCTTCTTATGAAGAACCATAGTCAGTGCAAACACTTCTGTTTGTGAAAGATATGAAATGCACAATTTTGTGGACCTATTATTATTATTATTATTATTATTATTATTATTATTATTATTATTATTATTATTAT